CCCCCCCCCCGGTCGTCACTCCCTCCTTTCTCGGCCAGCACACCGACGACCGATCATGGCTTCTCCGTTGTATCTCAAGATGCTCGCGGGCCTGGCAATGGCTGCTTCTACCCGAGCCCAGCTCACCATGACGAAGGTAAAGCTGCCTCTTGTGATGGCGAGTGTTCCCTGCTGCACATCTACCTCTCGTGAAGCTCGTGCAGATACACCCAGACGTAGATTGTTGTTGCTGTTCTCTTTACCGGTTTGCTCTCCCCTCAGAACCTTCTAACGTCCATACCGGTCCAACTGATGCGGATGCCTTCCGTGTGGTAGATGGTGCGTGGCTGCAGTTCTTCTTCTTGGGTTTGATACTAAGTATAATTATTCTCTACTGCTCTCCTCTCTCTTTTTTTGCTCCCTGCTCTGACGCCATGTCAATCCGGCACTCTCTCTCGCTCTCGATCTTGTACATAGGTTGGAGGGTTTGCTAGCACGAACGAGGATCCTCTGGAAATCGTCGTAGCAGGAAAGGACAACGTAAGTGAGCATCTGTCGGGATGTTTTCATTGCTGTTGACCTTGCTCTCCCTCTCTCCACAGGCTCTCCCTCTCTCCACAGGCTTTGCGTGGGTTGCTTCGCCCGTCCTCCTCTCGGGGGGGGCGGTCTCGCGTATTCACCCGCCGTTAGGTACGAGTCTAGTCTACCGCTGAAAAAAAAATTTAAGTTTGAATCAGTGTGTTGCAACATCGGGCATGTGGTGTGAGTAGATCGAGGATCGGATGTGGTAAGAAGTACGCAACAAACAGCAGTAGACAGGAAGAACAGATATGTACGCATATATGCACGCGGCAGCGGACGGGTGTGGGTTCGCAGGTTCGGAGTTAGTACTCGGGGGGAGGTCGGGTACTAACGGGTGAGGGGCTGATGTCATGCAGCAGCACTAAAAATTTCTTCTTGTTCTTGATCATCATGAGGATGAGCGAGCAAAGATGCAGAGGAGGAGCGTAGACATGATACGTTTGGTACAATATGTAGAGTCTATGTATGTGCGGGATGCTGAGCAAAGCAGCAGCAGCAGTAGTAGTAGGACACACACACACACGCGCCCACAAACCGATACATCATCAATCAATTTGATTGTCGAAATATAGAGTGAGAAGCCGGTGCGAGCCAGACGTACATGATACGGCAGAGAACTCAATCGTGGCAAACTGCTCTGACATAAACACTGCAGCGGACCTTGCAAATCAATCTTGGCTTGGATACGTGCGTTATGACGGCTTGGTACTCATGCTGCGGGTGGGTATGTTTTGTTGAATCGCAACGAGCGCTGCTGAATCCCGGGGCACACGTCCACGCGAGGTGGTGACTCGGCGTGGTGTGTGTGTGGTAAACGTGTCGCTGTTCTGTGTAGAACTTGAACTTGCCCATCAATTCATTTTTACTAGGGTAAGGTGGCCGCCCGCCGTAGGCGGCGGAACGGCCACCCGGATATACGCACGAAGAAGGCCAATGAATGATTTGTGGATGTGAAGCGCGGGAAATAGAAAGGAGGATGCAGGTTATGTCTATTAAAGGAGGATGTGTCAATGATGATACATCCCGCGGCTTTGGTCACGACTGCAATTGAAACGCAGTGACATATGAGTGGCGATGAATGTGTAATCCTCATCAATTAATGAAAAGATCATTGGAAAGTATG